ATACGTTGGGCTGAGTTCTTTGCGAATTTCGACTTCCGAATAGAGTATGTCCCGGGGGACACCAACATCATGGCGGATGCTCTCTCCCGTAAGCCACAGTATCTGGAGGAGGCAACGCCAGCGGCCGCCATGCACATCTTCGCACCGACAGTGTGGGCGTGCGCGGCGGCGACAGTTGACCTGGATGCGGTGCGACGAGCGTTGCAGGATGACTCCTTCGCGCAAGCAAAGATGGCAGAGGTGCACAGGGGCACGGCAGCGACCGACGAGTTCCAGCTGCGAGATGGTTTGCTCATCCGTAAAGGGGCCATCTACGTGCCGGGAGACGACCTCCGCCCCACCGTACGGCAGCAGCTGCACGACGCGCCCACTGCCGGGCACTGTGGCAAGGAGAAGACGGTGGAATTAGTAGCCAGAGACTTCTGGTGGCCCGGAATGAGAGGGAAGTCGCGGACTACGTGGCGAGGTGTGACACCTGCCAGAGGTCCAAACCAGTGCACAGACCGCCGGCCGGACTGCTGGAACCGCTGCAAACTCCGTTCGAACCATGGGAGAGAGTGGCCCTGGACTTTGTCACGGATCTGCCCAGCTCGAGGGGCAAGACGGCTGTGCTGGTCGTGGTGGATTTGTTCTCCAAGATGGCACATTTCATTCCGTGTGCGAAGGTGGCCACGGCGGAACAAACCGCCAAACTGTTCATAGACCACGTGTTCAAGGTTCACGGTCTGCCGCGGTCTATTCTGTCCGACCGAGGGCGACAGTTCATCTCGAACTTCTGGCAGAGGCTGATGGGCTTCCTGAACGTCAAGATCAACCTGGCGTCGGCTAGACACCCGCAGACCAACGGGCAAGCGGAGCGGGTCAATGCCATCATGCAGCAGTACCTGAGATGTTATGCGAATCAACAGCCTGCGACGTGGGTGGATTACCTGCCTCTCGCCGAGTTCGCCTACAACAACACGAAGCACGTGTCCACGGGGGTCACGCCGTTCTTCGCCAACAACGGGAGGCACCCTAGAACCTTCCCGGGACTGGAAAGAATGGGGGGGGGAGCCGCAGACAGCAGATGCGTTCGCGTCGGAGTTGCAGGAGGTCCACGATCAGCTGCGGCGGCACCTGGAGCTGGCTAAACACGCATACAAGGTACAAGCGGACAAACACAGAAGGGTTGGCGAAGAGATCCATGTGGGAGACTGGGTCTGGTTAGCAGCCCACGCAGTGCCGGCCAGGTCGTTGGCGAAGAAGAAACTAGGGCATAAACAACTGGGGCCCTACCAAGTCGAAGAACAGGTCAACCCGGTGGCTTTCAGGCTGGCTCTTCCGGAGGGTTCCAGAATGCATCCGGTGTTCCACAGATCGGTGCTCACTCCCTACAAGGCACCTCACAGGTTTCAGGAACCAGGAACGGCACCGGGTCCGCTCCGAGAGAGAACCGGGCAAGGGGGAGTGGCACAGGAGGAGCGCATCAACGAAGTCACGGAGATTTTGGACTCCAGATGGGGGGAAGAGGGGGTAGAATACCTTCTCGCCAAGGAGGGCACCCCAGCCAGTGCCAACAGCTGGGTGCCGGGCTACGCTTTAGACGAACCTCTGCTCAAAGAAGAGTTTCATGCCCTCTTCCCACATAGGCCAATGCCAGCAGACCTTTTCGACGACTGGCTTTTCACGCCCACGCTTTCAGCCAGCACGTTCCGGGGTTCGACTCGGACGAGGAACCGACACGAGACGCCCGTTCCCCGGAGGGGTCACCCTCGGGATCTGCTTCAGAACCCTCGTATTGGTGGGATGATCGACCAGAGGAGCAGTTCCGCAGAAGGTGGCTGGAGGGTCCAGGACGAGCAACGTCTCCAGAAGGCAACGAGGGAGAGACGGACATGGACGTTTTCGGGGACGACCCGGGTTTCGAGCACGGCGGCACAGAGATGGAAGCGGAGGTGACCGTCGTCAACGAGAGCAGGGAGGAAGAACCGGAAGACTTCGGATGGCGGCCCGCCACGGGAAGCGAACTGTATCCGACATTCGTCCCCCCTGACACGGCAGCACCCAGATCCCGCACCGGAAGGAGGGGAGGGGGGAAGAGGGGGCTTCGAGGGGGGGGATGGATGTCAGGGGTTCAGGAGCAGAGGCAAGGGCAAGGGAGGAAACAGAGAGCGAGGGGGAGGAGGCAGAAGAAAAGATGAGTGATGACGACGACCCGAGATCTCCGAGTCTTTCCAGTGAATCAGAAGATTCACAGAAAGGAGCACCAGTGGCCAGGGCAAGGGGGAGCCTAGGGGACACCCCAGGAAGATAGAGCCAGAGGGGACTCAGAGGGGAGCAGTTGGAAATCGGGACCAGCGTCACCGCCAGAGAGCAGGGAAGAGGAAGGGCGCCAGGGATCAAGCGCTGGCAGCTCACAACAGGGGGGAGGGCACGAGTCAGGAGTAGCCACACCTCCATCGGGGAGCGAAGAAACGGTCAGACGGAAGGTGGAAGGTTGGGCGCGCGCGCCAAGTTCAAATGCACAGGAAAGTGGCGCAGTAGGCAGCCCGGAAAGGGAGCCAGGTCCTAAAGCCCGCCGAAAGGAGGGAGAAGAGTCAGGGGGGTCAGCGTCAGCGTCAGAGGAATCCCGGAAGGAAGAGACCCCGGGGGGCAGAGGGACCCAGAGAAGGTCAGGCGGAAAAGGTGGAGCAAGGCTAGGATATTAAGTTGGTGTACAAGGGGCGGAGACTCAGATGGAGCTTCGCCGATCTAACCATTAGACGTAGGGTTGCACGCAGCAGCTTGAGAATGGAAACTGTAACTCAATAAAGACTTTTATTTAATGACCGCTGGCTAGCGTGATCCTCTGTGAGCTAGGATCTGGAAGCAACTCTGACACTAATCAATTTTGCGTGCTCAAGAAAGCCGGCCAATGGAAGGCGGAATTGAGAGGAGTTCCCAGCAAGTTGGACCAAGAAGCATCACTGCAGTGGAGATGGAATGCATGGTAGCTGTTGTGGCAGGCAGCCATTGATAGCCGTCTCCTCTATATGAATCTTTTCCAATTGTATTTTAACACCATCCAAGTTTGTGGCCGTCACTGCCTCTTGTGGAAGAGAGTTCCATCGTTTAATAATGTGCTGTGTGAACAAGGCCTTCTTTTTGTCTTGCCCTGAATCTTCTGACCTTCAACTTCAACTGGACGAGCTTGAATTCAGGCAAAAACGTTCCTCTTTAACCGGGTCTTTGGTTGATTGTCATCCGATGCCAATGTAGGTCTTTCAGGACAGGTGTTATGTAGTCTCAGTGGCCAGTCCCAACTATATTTTGGTGCGTGGGGAAAAATCATGTGACACGAGCCCTACCTGTGTGCACAATAAATATTTTTTTTATTCCATTACCTAGTTTTATTTTGATCCCCGGTCAGGACCTCCTTCATGAATTTCCACATCGTGTGTGCTATTCTAAGCCACGAAACCAAGGTCCCTTGTGGGGGTTTGTTTGCCTGTGTGCATGCACCATTTTAGAGGAACACTTGGAAAGGACTCAGTTGGATCCAAAATAGCCAATCCAAACTCAAGATTCTGTCAGGTATTCTGTCATTTGAAAATATTTAAAGCACTCATCTTTTTACAGCCGCTGGACTTCTCAGCTGATTTCACAAAATAGAATTTATAACCATGGCAACCCTTTGTAAGCCGCCTTGGCTCTCGGTCTGGGAAAAAGGGGATACGTATAAATAAGTAGAATACTAAAGGTGAGGATAAAGCTGCTCTTGAACTCAGATCCTGCTTGGAGCGCCTGCGGAGGAGGGATTCAGTCCTGGGGGCGCCGCTGGCCTGATCCTGCAGCCGGGTTTCCCCCTCCTGCTTCAGAGCCGGAGACCAGCCGGGCTCCCTCTCTGCCCGGAGCAGCCAAGAGGCTCCTACCCCGCGGCTGCGCAAGGGTTAACAGCGGCGACAGAGCTTCGATTCCTAGAGCGGAAGGGAAGACTGGGGGAGAGAGGAGGCGCTTCCGCTTCCTGTTCCGCTTCCCGGGTTTGTTGCTGTCCTCCCTGGAGGCGGGTAACTGGGGGGTCGGGGGGGCCGAGCCAGGGGCGGAATCGGGGGGCGAGAGGGAGGGAGCCGCGTCCCTCCTGGGGGGAACTCAGGGGCGACGGGGAAAGGTCGTCTTCTCCTGGGAGGGGAAGCGGGAGGCCGAAGCGACGCTCCTCGCTGGCCTTGACCGGCCTCTGGCCTCATCCTGCGGCCTTTTCTCCCGCTCCTCTGTCCAGAGAACGCAGAAGGAGCGCCCAGCAAAGGCCGCAGGGCAGGGAATGGGGAGGAATGGCAGGGAGTAAACAGGGAGTCAGGAGAGTCTCCTGCCAGCCAGAGAGGAGCAGGAGGAATAATTATTATTTTATTCCTTCATACCCCGCCCATTTAGCTGGGCTTCCCCAGCCACTCTGGGCGGCTCCCAACAGAAAATTAAAAGCACTATAAAAGATGAAACATTCAAAGCTTTCCTCAACCGGGCTGCCCTCAGATGTCTTCTTAAAGTCAGATAGTTGTTTATTTCCTTGACATCTGATGGGAGGGCTTTCCACAGGGCGGGTGCTACTACCGAGAAGGCCCTCTGCCTGGTTCCCTGTAACCTCGCAGGGAGGGAACCGCCAGAAGGCCCTTGGAGCTGGGCCTCAGTGTCAGGACTGAGCGATGGGGTGGAGATGCTCCTTCAGGTATACAGGCTGAGGCCATTTAGGGCTTTAAAGGTCAGCACCAACACTTTGAATTTTGCTCGGAAACATACTGGGAGCTAATGTAGGTCTTTCAGGTCTTAGTTGGCTGCTGCTCCCAGTTACCAGTCTAGCTGCTGCATTCTGGATTTGATCTAGTTTCCGGGTCACCTTCAAAGGTAGCGCCCCATAGAGTGCAGAAGGAGCTGCAGACTCTATGGCAGGAGAGGATCCTCCTCAGTTAAGACTCTTTAGCATTTTATTGTATCGAAGGCCATAGGTCCACTGCAAATTAAACCATGAGAAAAAACTTTTCCTCTGCAAAATGTATGTACGTACTAAACATGTATCATTAAAAAAGGTGGGCCCCTGGGGATATAACTGGCCATCTGCAGCTGTAGTAATTTTATCTTATGTTCAAGATTTCTAAACAGCTAATTCAAAAGGTCTCTCAAGTGGCACAGTGATCCAATGGGAGCTAGAACACAACTAAAACCCACAAACCAATTTAGAAACCAGTATGCATAAAGCCATCATTGAAAAATTTTCCCTCTCCACTTCCCATTTTGCCTCTTGGGCAGCATGTATGGTCTTTACACACTTGAGGAAGGAGGGAGTATGGGGTGGGACAAAACACTCATTTCCCCCAGTCTTAAATTTAGTTATCCAGATTTTAACATCTTATTAAAAAAACAAATAAACACTGAAGGTAAAATCTCCAGTTGCCCCATCTATCATCGGAGGGGAGCTGAGGGGAGATGGTTTCCACACCTTGCCTTGGAGTGTCTATAAGGAAGGAAATTGTTCTGTCCTTCCAGGGATCAGTGAGCTTTGACAGGTGTCCTTGCATTTCGCTGACGACAACTGGGCCCTACGGAGAGCTCTGTACAAGGACGTCATGGTGGAGGTTCATGAGATGGTGGCCTCTCAGGGTAAGGATCCTTTGCGCCTTCATTAATAGTTATAATAGGTATGGGTTCCTCGGAGTGCCTCCCTTCAGCTCCGCTAAAGGAGGTCACAGTGTTTGTTTTTCTCTTAAGTTAAAGGCCAGAAGCCTGGCTGAGAATAAATATTATTGCTTCTCTGCTACAATTAGCCATTGATGGCTTCTGGGTTGCCTCCTGGGGAGAGCATTCTTTAGGTGGGGAGCCAGCACTGAAAGACGCATTCCGTATTGCCTCTCTTTGCACCTCAATTGGAGAGGGCACTGTGAGAAGGACCTCTGATGATGAGTGCAGGCTCTAGGTGGATTCATGAGAAGCAGTCCTTGAGCTACATAAGTCAAAATCAGCACCTTGACTTGAAGACAGCAAACCAGATATGCTCAGAGCCTCTTGCACCGGTCAGCACTCTGTAGTTTCTGAACGGTCTTCTAAAGCAGCCTGAAGTATAATGCATTGTGGCAATCTAGCATGGAGAATGGTAGAAAAAGCATACTAAAAATCTTCTGTGTGGGGGATCCTAATTTGTAGAATACTTGAGTATCTTGTTATTGTTATTGGTTTCTATTGATGTATTGGTTTGTTTGTTGCATATATAGAATCTTCTGTTTCTTAATATTTGAGGTTTGATTGCATTTTTATATATGCTGCAAGCCACCCAGAGAGGCTTGGGAAACCCAGCCAGACGGTTGGGATATAAATGAAATAAATGCTACTATTGTTATTATTCATTTTGGTTTTTCAACAAGCTCTGCAGATCTAGGCTTTTCAAGCTTCTCTGAGTTGCAGTGCTGTATTATCAATGCTCAGGGGTGGCCTCACTTCTGCCCCCACAATGGGGGCTCAAAATCCATAAGGAGCGTACCCCTGCAAGTTGGGTGGGGTGGTCCCCACGAGACCTCCAAGGGGTGCAGACGCCTCCCCCCATTCACTGGCAAAGAGCCTTTTCAGATCCTGACAAAGCTGAATGGTGGAATGTCTGCCCTCTTGTGGACATGCCCTTGTTGGGGGAGGATCCTTTTCGGGACTTGGCTGGAGGGGAGAGGACTCACAGAGCTTTGCTGCCCATCCCACTTCAGCCCTGGAGGCCGGGGAGACTAGCAGCAAAGCTGAGCAGTGACGCCCCTTTGGGGGTGACACCTGAGACAGCCACCTCACACAGGCCCATAGGCAGGCAGGCTCTGTTGATGTTATTGCCTGCTGGTTTAAATTGTGTTATTTATGGCTTGGTTAATCTTAGGGGCTGCTCACCAGAACTTTTCTGATACAAATAACTGGTGATATTTTATTAAAACCAGGTATCACATCATTGTTTTAATGTAAAACGCCGTTAACATAGTGACAGGCCTTGAGTTTTGATAAGGAAACAGCTGTATCAACCTTTATTTTAATTTTTTTATTCCATCAGGAGATGTTTGGGGGGTCCTGGATGAGGAGGAACCACCAGAAGCCTGGCCAGAAAGAGGTGAGGCGCAAGAGAACGAAAGGAAGTTGGGGGTTCAAGATGGAGCCAACAAACAAGAGAGGAGAGAAACAGTGAAGCCAAGGGATGAACACAGTGTTTCCCAAGAAGATGAAAATCAACTTAACAGGGTGGAGAAAAAACATGAATGTACTGTGTGCGGAAAGAGATTCTGTAGTCGCTCAGCCCTTGCTACACATCAAAGCGTACACTCAGGTGAAAAACCTTATGAATGCATGGAGTGTGGAAAGAGATTCAGAAACAGTGGCCAACTTAATATGCATCAGATAACTCATACAGGGGAGAAGCCTTATGAATGCATGGAGTGTGGAAAGAGCTTCAGTGCCAGAAGCAACCTTATTAGACATCAAATAACTCATACAGGGGAGAAACCTTATGAATGCATGGAGTGTGGAAAGAGATTCAGTTACAGTGGCCAACTTAATGTGCATCAAAGAACTCATATAGGGGAGAAACCTTATGAATGCATGGAGTGTGGAAAGAGCTTCAGAAACAGTGGCCAACTTAATGTGCATCAGATAACTCATACAGGGGAGAAACCTTATGAATGCATGGAGTGTGGAAAATGCTTCAGATCCAGTAGCTACCTTACTTTGCATCAAAGAACTCATACAGGGGAGAAACCTTATAAATGCTGGGAATGTGGAAAGAGTTTCTTTGACAGTAGTACCCTTACTAAACATCAAAGAACTCACACAGGGGAAAAACCATATAAATGCATGGAGTGTGGAAAGAGCTTCAATCAGAGTGCCTCCCTTAATGTGCATCGACGACTTCATACAGGTGAAAAACCTTATAAATGCATGGAGTGTGGAAAGAGCTTCAGTGACTCTAGCACCCTTCATGCACATAGGAGAATTCACACAGGGGACAAACCATATAAATGTTTGCAGTGTGGAAAGAGCTACTGCCGCAGTCATCACCTTTCTCGACACCGGATAACTCATTCAGGAGACTAACCCTATGAAAGCTGATGTGTGGAAAGAGCTTCTGTTACAGTGGTAAAAGCTGTTCTCCAATTGGAGCACTCGCAGACCAGTGTTTCCTAGTAGGGAGTTAGTAGCTCACTCTTTAACGATGTGCAATTCTTCACCTTCATCCATGCACGAGGGCTTTTCCAGTACAGCAAGGAAGCAGCTTAAGGACCAAATACTTTACTGTCGCAAAAGTTCAGGCTCAGTAAAACAGTTTTGGGAGTATGTATATCCATCTGTCTAGTGATAAGTCGCCAGTAGCCAGGTGCAAACTGTGTCTGGCGCCTGGCGAATTTTGAACACTGCCCCACATTGGTATTTAATTAAAATAAGACACGAACTTGAGAATTTCCCCTCTGATTTACCAATCTGTTCATTTAGGCAAGCATTTCTGACTTTTGTTTTCAGACTATGTGCTCAGAATATTTAGAGGGACGCTATAAAAAATTATCGCAGAACAGCATCTTTGTGTATGCCTTAACTAAGCAGTAGACCTCTACCAATATGCTCTCTCTATTCTGAACCAAGGTTATCCTTGATTTGTTATGTAAGATACCTGATGCGGATGATCAACTGAAAGTCACATATATGTTGTCTTGTTTGAGAAATCTGTGACAAAGTTGCTGCCCAAAATTGAGAATGTTCATTGAGGAGAACATGGTGGACTGTAAAGATTTAATTGGGAATGACATCTAAAAACTTACTTGTGTGTGTGTAATATAGACTGATACTGTATTTTAATGCCATATTTATGTATATATGTCATATGACCATAATGGTACAAACAATAAACATATACCGTTTGTAGGCCTTTGCAGATACAGTTATGTACAGATAGATGGACTGTATAGGCAAAAGTGAGTAACAAGAAAGTAGTATTTCTCATGCCTTAACATGTTAGAAGCTGATTGGTTACTGCCGCAGAATCCTATAGTAGTAGTAGTAGTACAAATAATAATAATAATAATAATAATAATAATAATAATAATATTACTTATACCCCACTCATCTGGCTGGGCCTCCCCAGCCACTCTGGGCTGCTCCCAACAGAATATTAAAAACACAATAAAACATCAATTTATTATTTCCTTGACATCTGAAGGGAGGATGTTCCATAGGACGGGCGCCACTCTGCAGGGTTCCCTGTATCCTCACTTTTTGCAGTGAGGGAACCACCAGAAGGCTTTGGAGGAGGACCGATGGGGGTGGAGACGCTCCTTCAGGTATACTGGGCTGAGGCCATTTAGGGCTTTAAAGGTCAGCACTAACACTTGGAATTGTGGGAGTCAATGTAGGTCTTTCAGGACCGGTGTTATATGGTCTCAGCAGTCAGTCCCAGCTATATTTTTGTTCGTGGGAAAAAAATCCTGTGAGAAGCGGATAATAAATCCTCGGTGTGCACAATAAATATTTTTTGCTTCCGTTACCTGGTTTTATTTGGATCTCTGGTCAGGAACTCCTTCATGAATTTCCACATCATGTGTGCTGCTCTAAGCCCGGAAACACACCATTTTGGAAAACTAATTTGTGAAATACATGTTTTGTGATGTACCAGATTTGCCCCAAAGGGCAGTCAACTTTAAAAAAATATTTGTGTGGCCTGCAAGTCATGCAAGGATTTGGAATCACTCGCATAAAAGGCCGCTGGTCCCTTCCTTCTCCTTCCCCACTTTCTGTACATGCAATAGCAAATTTTATTTTTAATGCAGCAGTTTTGTGCAGGAGAGCTTCTCCCCACAAAGATGTGTTTTTTATTACTACAGACATTTGTATATTTCATTTATTACCTGCCCTTTATTCAGCCAAAGTCCTGGTTGAAGAAGAATGTTTTCGCTCGGGACCTAAAGGCGCATAATGAAGGTGCCAGCCAAAGCTCCCTGTGGAGAGCTTTCCACAAACGGAGCCACTGTAGAAAAGTCCCAGTCTTGTTTTGTCACCCTCCACACATGGAAGAGGCACATGAAGAAGTGTCTTAGAGGGTGATATCCAGCCTGGGGCAATATTTGAGGTATTGTGATCCTGAGCTGTTAAGGCTTTATAGGTCCAAACCAGCACTTTGAATTGGGCTCAGAAACTAATTGGTTTCCAGTGTGGTTGGACCAGGATCAGTGTAATATGCTCACACTGTCTTGCTTCGCTGAGCAACCTGACTGTCAAATTCTGCAGCAGCTGAAGTATCTGAACCACCGGCAGGCGCCACCTTCATGCCTTCAACAACAATGGGAAACTCTCTAAGGTAAAGGGAAAAAGCAGGAAACTCTCTAAGGTAAAGGGACCCCTGACCATTAGGTCCAGTCGTGACCAACTCTGGTGTTGCGGTGCTCATCTCACTTTACTGGCCAAGGGAGCCGGCGTACAGCTTCCGGGTCATGTGGCCAGCATGACTAAGCCGCTTCTGGCGAAACAGAGCAGCGCACGGAAACGCCATTTACCTTCCCGCTGGAGTGGTACCTATTTATCTACTTGCACTTGGATGTGCTTTTGAACTGCTAGGTTGGCAGGAGCAGGGACCGAGCAACGGGAGCTCACCCCATTGCGGGGATTCGAACCGCCGACCTTCTAATCGGCAAGTCCTAGGCTCTGTGGTTTAGACCATAGCGCCACCCACGTCCCTTTTTGGGAAACTCTCTAGGAAGAGACAGAACAATAGAAATACTGGAATTAAAGGATTTGTTCAACTCAAAGCTCCCCTCCCTTCTCCATTCGAATGCATTGGCTAAAATTAGTACAAAGACCCTAGGTGGTTAGATAGCTCCCCGAGCTCCAACAAGGAACTGGCCACACACTGTCAAGGAACCCAGACACCCCTCGACTTAAGGACAGGTGTGACGGACAGCACAGCCAGACCAGAGTCTGCTGGCGCAGTCTCCCTGAAATTCTGTCAGAGTGAAGGAGCCTGTCACCGATTGGCTACAAAGTCACAGAGGGGGAGGAGCAGAACTTTGAGAGGGAGGATAAAAAGAGGGAGGGAGGGAGAGAGAGATAGGGCTACGGGTCAGGTGAAGAGATGGGGCTTGATTTGAGAAGATAGGGATGGATTTGAGAAGAGAGAGGGTCAGGTTAAGACAGGGGTCCTCAAACTACGGCCCACAGGCCGGATCAGGCCCGCCAAGGTCCTAAATTCAGTTCTCGCTGCTGCTGCTGCTGCTGGCTGTCTGGCTTCTGGTGCTGTGGGGGTCCCAGGCCAGACGTGGAGAGGGCGGAGCAGGAAATGGCGGCCAGGAGGCGTTGTGCGCAGGCGCTTCAGGCGGAAGGCAGCACCGCTGCTGGGGCCCCTCGCGGCTCAGTCGCCGCCCCTCCAGGTCTCCCGCTTCCCCACCACTCTCCTTCCCATCTCGCAAGCCCCGCATACCCCACCCAGCATGCACGTCTCGCCTTTGCAACCTGCCACTGTTGGAGGAGTTTGGGATGCTGTCAAGAAAAGCTCAGCGTCTCTTTCTCTGCGCACTGGCGCCAGTCTACTCATGTGAGGCAGCCCTTTTTGCAAATTCCCACTGTCCTTTTTTTATGGCGGGGGTGTGTGTGAGGAGAATTCAGCTCCATGCCTTGGTAGCCTTTGCAAGTTTTAACTTCTTCTGGAAGGGGTTGGCTCTCTCCAGGGAGAGATCCCTGAAGGGCTGCAGGTTAGCGAGAGTGGGCGGGTGCCACCCAGCGCTACCATTTTAATCTCTGGGGTGGCGGAAGAAGATGGGGTGGGGTGGAACTGTCTATTTCCAGCCCCTGCAAGTTCCAAAGCAGAGAAGCATTTCGAAAAGTGCAGCTACCTCCTGAATTTGACACACAAACCCCCCACTCTGCTTTCTCCCTTCCTAAGCCCCTCTCTCTTCCTCTCACTTTCCAGGCTTGCCCTTTCACTGCCATTCCCACTGCTCCCACGTTTTGCAGTTTTTGGGGGGTGGGGTGGGGGAGAGAAAAACGCCCGCCCATGATTATTTAGCTGATTCTCTCCTGACCAACATAAATTAGCAGGCCCATACTTCCCATTGAAATATTTATAGAGTGGTACCTTGGGTTAAGAACTTAATTCGTTCCAGAAGTCCGTTCTTAACCTGAAACTGTTCTTAGCCTGAAGCACCACTTTAGCGAATGGGGCCTCCCACTGCTGCCACCGCGCGGTTTCTGTTCTCACCCTGAAGCAAAGTTCTTAACCTGAGGTACTATTTCTAGTTAGCAGAGTCTGTAACCCGAGCGTCTGTAACCCGAAGCGTCTGTAACCCAAGGTACCACTGTAAGTTTATGTTGATTAAAATCATTCTTCATTTTAAAGAAGGCTGATCGCCGAAGAATTGATGCTTTTGAATTATGGTGCTGGAGGAGACTCTTGAGAGTCCCATGGACTGCAAGAAGATCAAACCTCTCCATTCTTAAGGAAATCAGCCCTGAGTGCTCACTGGAAGGACAGATCCTGACGCTGAAGCTCCAATACTTTGGCCACCTCCTGAGAAGAGAAGACTCCCTGGAAAAGACCCTGATGTTGGGAAAGATGGAGGGCACAAGGAGAAGGGGGAGACAGAGGACAAGATGGTTGGATAGTGTTTTTGAGGTTACCAGCATGGGTTTGACCAAACTGCAGGAGGCAGTGGAGGACAGAGGTGCCTGGCGTGCTCTGGTCCAGGGGGTCACAAAGAGTCGGACACGACTAAACGACTAAACAACAACCACAATGGCTTCCTCCCGTTTCGCCCGGCCCCGAGCTGCCCCTTCGCGGGGCAGGAGGAGGAGCCGCTGCTGCCTCCGGGGCACCTATGTGGGTGTCGTCGCTGCTCAGGAGCCTCTGAGTGCGTGCAGAGTGCAGACCGAGCAAGGCAGCGAGGGCATCCCTGGGCGCAGCCGCCTGTGCGGGAAGAGCCGGGCTGGGGTCCGGGTGGGGTGGAGAAGGGCTTCCTGCAGCAACAGTGCAGGCCAAGCTGAGCCGGGCAGACGAGGGGCAGCTGCAGAGGTCTGTGGAGAGAGTCATCCAGGCTCTCATAGGCGAAGTATTGGGG